CAGCAGGAAGAACTTAGGAAGCATACTTAAGGGAGGTCAATTTGTAAGCCCAAATTCTTCACAACAGTGTAATTGCTACATTTTCTTTGACACTATCAGTGCCTCGAAGATGTTTAACTTGATTCTGGTATCTGGACAATCTGAGCAAGAGTGTCTTGGGAGTGCAGACAGACATCACCACTTCATGTTTATTCTTACCGGTAACGTTTTAGAAAGGTCCCTTTGAAAATAGCACTCATCATGTTCTGTATCTCTAGCAGCTTCTGCTCATACTGAAATGCAAAGAGAACTGAATGTTAATATCAGTCCCACAACTGACTACCCATTACAAATGTGCATCAGTGCACTTACAATACCACCCTGGTGCACATCACTAGCATTTACACGTGGCACCAATATAAAACGAGTGGTCTGTACCTACACCAGCAATCGGCCTTTCTGTAGCTATGTCCTGATGAAGGACTCAGATACCAACTGCCAGCCTGGGTAACAAGGTACAGCACAGAACGTGTTTGATACAGTGAGTCTTGAGCACAGGAAGATAAAGCACAACTATTAAGCAAGCATACAGGCCCAAATTCTCTTTTTAGGCACTTAAACAGAGATGGAATAAAGGAAGACAAGAGAATTTTCGTAATGTACCTACTCCACAATAAGCATGTATTTTAGGTGAGCCCTGAAAATGTAGTTTTGCACTTCTGGAAACCTAAGTCACTTAAGAACATTCTCTCATCAACAGCATCAGGAAGGGTGACAAGTTTGGGGTTTCCCCCCAACGCACGCATTTCCTCTTTTTTCCCCATATGATCAGACTTCACATGGTACTAAAAAACCCTGTATCATCCAAACATGGCTTCCTACAGAAAAAGGGGATGTTTCTGTAACAGAGAAGTCCATGGGGACTTTTTACAAGGGCCTGTAGTGACAGGACAAGGGGTAACGGGTTTAAATTGAAAGAGGGCAGATTTAGACTGGATTTTAGGAAAAAATTCTTCACAGAGAAGTTGGTGAAGCACTGGAATAGGTTGCCCAGAAAAGCTGTGGATGCCCCATCCCTAGAAGTGTTCAAGGCCAGGCTGGATGAGGCTTTGAGCAACCTGGTCTAGTGCCCAGGGCAAAAGGGGTTGGAACTAGATGGTCTTTAAGGTCCCTTCCAACCCAAACCAGTCTGTGATTCTATGGTCATCCAAAGCTTCAAGCAGAGGTAGCTGATTGTAAGGTCAAGAGAGAAGGAGCTGTGCTTGATGTTCATTCATCAAGCCACCTCCACCCTCAAGCCAATTAAGTCTTACAGTTGCAGGCCTGTCTCTAGGAGCTGATGAGGAGCTGCTGGCTGAGTAGAGAAGAAATGACAGAAACCAAACAGCAAGAAAGATACAGGTCATATCTGGAGTTATGATCATTTTTGCTAGGCATTACTTACACAGAGATGGCAGCTATTCTGTGTCCTTCTCCATTCACTGAAATTCAGTTCAAGAACTAAGGTTTTGACCTAAAATTTGTATAAACATATGCAAAATTGCACTCCCACACCACCAGAGCTACTAATGCAATTACATGTGTGTGTAAATCCGTATTTGTGTAGAGATCAAAGGTTAATGATGCCAACTTAGAGAAGCAATTAGTAGGACAGATATTGCAGGTTAACAGTACACAGGGCAGTTATTACCTTAGTCACTTTTGTACCACTTAATCTAGCGAGTCACAACTGTTCTGAGGTTTATCTAATGTATGGTGTGAAGAACTCCAGTAACCCAACAGCAAGCTGTTAACAATCCTTCTTTTTACATCTTCACACATCTCCCATACAAGACACCTGCCTAACCTCTTGGCTTTTTCTCTCTAGCTGGTCAAGTCTGTAATTGGTCCTCTTGCCACTTATCCTCCTCTTCTCCACCTCATATAATCTCTGAGCATTGTGTTTGTTGACATCAAGGTTCAGATGTATGCTTACAACTGCAGTCAGAAGTTTCATTGCTAAAAAAAAGAAACAAACCAAATGTATTTAGCTCAGCTCAGAGATATGTAGCATAAATATATTCACCACTTTACCACAAAAAGGATATGGTTAGCTAAATCCAGTTCATTATCTGAAATAGGAACACTACTAGATTACAGGAATTTGCTTTCCAACACAGTGTTTATTTTAAAGGAAGACAGTGATCAAAAAATGAAAGTGTAGTCATATTACTGGTGATTTACAACTTTTGGCCAGAGATCTAGTCAGAGAAGTAATTTACTGGAGGACTCTCCTCTTTGATTATGTAATTTTGATTTTTCCCACAAAAGAATCTGGAGTTGTGGACCGGGTAATTTTCAGTAAGAAAACAAAAAAAACCCCACCAAACCAATAAAAAAAAAATTAAAAAAAAAAACACCACACCACAAAGAACACCAAAACAAACCACAAACCAACCAAAACAGTGAAGCTGACCCATAAAAGGATGGGAATCTTAATATTTTACTTGAATTGACAAAAATTTTCAGGACCACGAGATGGTTTGCATGCATGGCAAGTGTTTTTTTTTTTTTTTGAGCCTTCAAAGCAAACAGTATAATTTAGAGCAAATTATACCTTAAGTATTCTTTGCATGGCAGAGGATACTTACTGGCTTTAGGGGGAAAAAAAAAAAAAGAAGTGGTAGCTTTAGTATCCTCACATTGCATGAAACAAAAATGTGTGACAAGCAATGTTCTTTTTAGGTACCACAAGAACAGCAGTTCTTCAGAGAAAGCATTTCTAGGTGAAGCATTTAATGCCACCTCATCACATTAATTAGTGGAAGGAGCAAAAAAAACAAAATAGAAAACTGGGAAAAGCAGTTACTGGGGGCAAAAAAAAAAAAATCAGGACCCAGCATAATTCTGAAGTTGGTCATGTCACACATTAAAGAAATTTTCTTTAGGAAGAAAAATGGTCTAGATAAATCATACCTAAACCAAATTCCATTCAGATAAACACGGAAACAAATTACTTCTATTACAGTAACATACATTAGGATGAAGGCACTGTCAATGCATAAGAACTGCTGCTCCAGTGAAGAGAGCTTTTCATATCTGAGCAGTTTTGTTCATACACAAGTCAACAACTCACAGCCCACAGCAAGTCTCTGAGCTACTTTACCTGCCAAAGTGCTTGTGTGTCTAAATGCTCTGACCATGGAGTCCCCTAAGCCTGTAAGCAGCGAGATGACAGCATCCATCAAATAGCTATCATACAGGACACTGCACTGGCACTGTTGGACAAGCACTGCAATGAATTCACAGAAATTGGCCTTGAACTTCTTCCAATAGGGTCCTGTTCTGATCAGTGGGTAAATAATTAGGGGAAGGAGCAAAAAAAAACAAAAAAGAAAACTGGGAAAAGCAGTTACTGGGGGCAAAAAAAAAAAAATCAGGACCCAGCATAATTCTGAAGTTGGTCATGTCACACATTAAAGAAATTTTCTTTAGGAAGAAAAATGGTCTAGATAAATCATACCTAAACCAAATTCCATTCAGATAAACACGGAAACAAATTACTTCTATTACAGTAACATACATTAGGATGAAGGCACTGTCAATGCATAAGAACTGCTGCTCCAGTGAAGAGAGCTTTTCATATCTGAGCAGTTTTGTTCATACACAAGTCAACAACTCACAGCCCACAGCAAGTCTCTGAGCTACTTTACCTGCCAAAGTGCTTGTGTGTCTAAATGCTCTGACCATGGAGTCCCCTAAGCCTGTAAGCAGCGAGATGACAGCATCCATCAAATAGCTATCATACAGGACACTGCACTGGCACTGTTGGACAAGCACTGCAATGAATTCACAGAAATTGGCCTTGAACTTCTTCCAATAGGGTCCTGTTCTGATCAGTGGGTAGTCTTCATTGTCCTGCACAAGACAGAAAGGTCAAGAGAAAACACTAATCAATTTTATTTGTGCACACCATTTACATCTCTCCCACTGAACATCAGAGAGTTTTGCTGACAGTCAGCTTCACCCCAGCCCCCACCTGATTTTGTTCACTGTTAGTACTCTGAGGTAGGGACACACAACTAGGTTACAAGCAAGCACAGATACAACCTTGCCTCATTAGCGCCACACTGTCATGACAGCTCGCATCTGACAGCAACGTAGGTGAGGTAGCTTCAAGGACAGGCAGGAGTCTGCACGTGAAGCCACAGCACCTTAAATAACTTTCAGTGGAAAACCGTAAGTACTCCCAGCCTCTTCTACTTCCTCACAGGTAGTAGTGGTGCTTCCCCATCCTTCCTGTAACTGCAAGTGCATGGTAAAATCCAGGAGGAAACTGGAGTGACTGAAAAAGAACAGCTACTTCGCCGAACTGTTTTTCAGTGGCATCAGTTTCCCAAGATGGTTCAGCATGTAATTATACATTTGTGTCTTAAAAAAAATACTTTGATACTAGGGAAATGAAAATAAACGACTGTGGTGTGGGGCAGGATGGGAGCATTTTCCTCAGCAGCACTGCCAGCTTAAGGAGTTTATCAGGCTGCAGCCTAATGACAAATACAGAGTCGCTCACCTATCCTACCAGCACCTACGTCTCTGAAAACCTCCACAGAAAAAGTAAGCAATACCTTTGACATTATGCAAAAAGCAAGTTACAATAAAGTCACAGGAGTGTACACAGTCCAATTAGTACTGCCTGGGAGAAAGCAGACAGATGGTTCAAGTGTATTCTCACAGAAAATGGGGCGCCCCATGTGAAAAGCACACTAGGAAGACTTAGTAATGCCAACCTCAGGCTGTGTGAACATTTATTTCATGTGCGCCTCTCAGATCCCAGCAATGGCTTTGAATATTGATTTGCAACCTGACAGTTTACAGGTGTGAGTGCAGCCAGGGAATTCCACAACTTCACTCACTGTGGAAAACATCATCCTGAAGGCAGGCCACTACTCAGCTGGTCAAACACTACTTACTCTGACCTGCAGCTTCACACCCAGAAAAACCTCCTCTACTTACAAAGTGCACTTCACTCTCTTCCTTTGGAATTTTGTTTGGAAAGCACAGGACCCACCGTTTTCTCAAAAAATAAACACAAAACACAGATGGATCTCAGGGATGTCCAAAAGCACATTAGAAATTTGGAATTTGGGATGAGTTCCTGACCAGGTTGCAAGAGTCAATTCAGAGCCTAAAAGCAGTAGCAAGCCCAGACAGCAAGGGAAGTTGCCAGCAGGCACCATTAAATGCTCCTTGATCCTGACACAGACAGGAGAAAGACAACCTACAACTTCAGGAGATACCTGCTTGATCACAGCAGCTTACTCCTCAGCCTGAGAAGCAGCACACATGCAGGAAGACATCTCACTTAAGAGCATTTCTACTGTCCGTGTACATCATACGGGGACACTGTTTAATGGTAATATGCATACTGTAAATATACAGGCAGCACAGTGGGCACACCACCTAAATTTAGAACCCTAACCTGAGGTTCCCCTAGATTTCCTCCATACCGAGTAGAGATAAGCAACTCTACGTCCTGAAACCAAGACTCTTAACACAGATTCTTCCAGAGAACCATCCAAACCACTCAAATGGAAATGCTACGTTACAGTTGCAGAGAACTACAGAAGAGCCTTACAGTGTCCACCGGCCAAGTAACTGTCAGGATCCAAGGATAGGCCATGAATTTCTTGTAGTGCAACCCAGTTTCCTGTAATGCATGAGACAATTTTAAAAGCTTTTCAGTGAAATGGCACAGTTAATTCATAAAGACAAAAACATCACAAACCATGTATTGTATTTAAAAGGCTATTAAAAATTAAAACCATGTGTTACACTTGACTCATAATATCCAACATATTAAACAAAACCTAATCCCTTCTCAACTCATTTATTTTTAACCAATGATAGAAGAAAAACACACGTCTATATAAAATTTGAGTTTGCCTGCTACAAGTAAGAGACAACTTGTTTTTAAAATTTATAAGCAAACATATACAAGGTATAATCCTCATTATTAATTCCAAGATAGACTTGCTGGGGAGGCATAAGTGTGTATCCCTTCCCAACACGTAGTAACGAAGTACTGTAAAACATCTAAACTCTAGAAAGTCTGTCTGAGCTTTCCAAATTATAGAGAAATATTTTCAGCACTATCATGGCTTGATTCAGAGATGTTTCCTCAACTCTGCAATTATTCCAAGACAAAAGGCATGAAATCTAGAGTTCTCAGTGAAGCACAAGTTCATCTGGTAGTACAGTTATGCATCAAACTTAACCCTTCCATTGCTAAACATGTCAGCAACAAAATGGGAGAGGGAAGGATACCTACAAAAGAACTGATGCAAGAAATAAAATGTCAGATCCAGGAAGAAAAGTGGAAGAGAGAAACAGAATAGTTTAAAAAAGAGGGAAGACAAAAATCATTGGTCCCAAAACCAAGTCTGCCCCTCCCCTGAGGAGTACCAAGGCCCACAGAAGAGGAACTAAATGGCTCTGAATTACTATATTAAGCCATTTTCTGCTTCCAGCACCAGTACCAGTTTTCACAGGATCTGAAGTTGGGAGGGACTCGGAGATCATCTAATCCAACCCCATCTGCTCAGCCAGAGCAGGCTGCCCAGTGCCTTGTGTGACTGGCACCCTCTGCTCCCAAGTCTTGGCAATGTGGTTAGCATAATTAACACTATTTTACAAGGCAAGCAGTCGTTCTCTGTGACTGAGCAGATCATGTGTTCATTCCTTTTCCCTCATTATCAGGCCCTGAAGGTCCTGTGAACCAAGCAGTGTCCCCTCACTATCAGCCTCAAGGTTTCTTGGGCACCAAGCTGACTATTCCCTTCTCTACCAGCCTTGAAGGTTCCAGGCACCCAGCCAGCAAGGTGCTGGTGATGACCCCGTCACAGATCAGGGAAGCGTAACAGCACTCAGAGCACTCTCTATAAAATCAAGTAGTTACAAGGCCCAAGTGGGGAACCTGGACTACAGCTGCACCTGGACAGTGAGACCCATGAACTCCCAATGGCCAGGGATGCCTACACCATCCTCTGCTTCCTCCAAGGACTGAGTGACTTTTATTCCTTTATATGATTTTCAAGTCTAGGTGATGATTGTTATATTGATACAGCAAACCATGTACTAAGATTTGACCCAACCTGCAGAGGGTCCAAGTGATTAGAAATCATAAGTGAAGTTGTATTATAAATTCTGTGTTACGCTGCATATAGACTGTACTATACTGATTCTACCTGTAGAAACCCTGTGCCATTCTACTCATACATGCTGTGCCAAATTAAACAGAATTTAAGAAAATAAAGCTTTAATTGTAACTATGATTAGTGCAGTCATCATTCTACCAAGGATCACTAAAAGAACCTGTCTGTCCCCTCAGTGCTGGATGACACTGTGTGCAGTCAGCTTTGTAATATCACCACAGATGGAGACTCCACAAACTCTCAGGGCAACTTGTTCCACTGTTTGACCACTCTCATGAATTTTAATTTCTGCTCGTTGACGTTTGGCTTGCCTTCGTGCCTCCTGTCTCACTGGGCATCACCAAGGAGAATCTGGTTTCCTCTTCCTGTCCCATTGGGATTTACTTTTTCTTTTTAAACACATGGATAAGATCCCTCTGAGCCACCTTCTTTCCAGACTGACAGGCTCAGCACTCTCAGTCTCTCCCCATATGAAAGATCATTAATCATCTTTGTGGCTCTTTGCTGGACTCACTCCAGTAAATCAACCTCTCTTTTACTGGAAAACCCAGAACTAGACTCAGCACTCCAGATGTGATCTCGTCAGTATGAGTAGAGGAAGGACCAGCTTTTGATATGAGGGCACGTTGCTGGTTTGTGATCATGTTGTCATCCACAAGTACACTGAGATCTTGCTCTGCAGAGCTGGTTTCCAGCCAGTCAGCCCCCAGTGCATAGTGGGGCATAGGCTTATTTCTCCATAGGTTCATGGGGATTCTTGTTGTTGAATCCCATGAGATTCCCCTTGAGAGAAAGGAGAGCCCAATTCTCCAGCCTGCTGAGGTCCCTCTGAACACTAGAGCAACCACCTGGCCTAGCAGCTACTCCTCCCAGTTTTACATCACCTGCAAACTTGCTAAGAGTACACTCTGCCCTACTATCCAGGTGGTTATCAAAGATGTTAAACAGCATAGGTGCAAATATCAAACCTGGGGGTGCACCACTACTGACTGGCCTCCAACTGGACTGTGCCACTGATCACTACCCTGTGGGCCTGGTTGTTCAGCCAGTTTTCAGCCCACCTCGCTTACCTAACTCATACTTCATCACTTTGTCTAAAGGAGACAGTGTTACGTCTTACTGAAGTCAAGATTAACAACACCTGCTGCTCTCTCCTCATCCACATGGTCGGTTAAGCACAACCTCCCCTTTGTAAATCCAGGCTGGCTACTCCTGATCATCATCTTGTCCTTCATTTGTGTTTGGACACTATTTCCAGAATTAGTTATTTCATCACCTTCCCACGGATCAGGGTGAGGCTGACCAGCCTGAGTTCCTCAGATCCTCCTTCTTGTCCTTCTTGAAAACAGAAGTGCCTTCACTTTCATTGCATCTTCAGGAATCTCTCCCAGTTGCTACAACTTTTCAAGACAATCAAAAGGGGCCTCGCCATGACATCAGCCAGCTTCCTCAGCACTCCTGGGAACATGGATGTTCCCCCTGTCACACCATAAGGTCTAATGTATGTTCAGTTTGTTTAAGCGTTCCCTAGCTCAATCCTCCCCCACAGAGGGTAAGAAGTCTTTGCTCCAGACTCTCCCTCTGTGCTCAGGGATCTGGTATTTCTGAAAGCCTGTCTTATCAGTAAACACAGAGGCAAAGGGGGCATTGAGTACCGGAGGCTCGTCCGAGTCCTTTGTCACTAGGGCCCCTGCCCCAGTTAGCTTTTGCCCATGTTTTCCTTAGTCTTCCTTTTGCTATTGATATATGTGTGGAATCTTTTCTTGTTGCCCTTCACGTTTCTTGCCAGACTCAACTCCACTAACACCAGTGAGAGTTTTGGGATGAAGCATTGGTACATGGATATTGTGTTGCAATTAATAATCGTACAGTAAAGCAATGGTTAAACCACTGAAGCGATCAAGAATGAAGAACTACAGAAAACACTTTAATTTTCCAATCCTCCAAATACCATAAACAAACAAAAAACCAATCAAAAGGCAAGATGAGCTACTCTAGCAGCTATCTGGTTATACTCTCCTATCTCATTACTACTTTCACTACTATTATAATTTGTTTTCAAAAAATATTTTCAAAATCACAGTAGCCCTACATGGCACTACTTCAACTAACTTAATCACTAAGTTATATTTCCATCTTATTTATGAAAAAGATGAGAGAACAGTATGCTAAAAGAAACACAAACAAAGAGGAAACAACTCACTTGAAAATAACAAACTGCTTTGCTCTGGCTCTTATCATAGTTCTGCTTTAAAAGAAATTGGTTTAATTCTCAAGCTTTTTTTTTTCCCCCCCCTCCTTTTCCAATCACCTAATAACTGTGGTTAACAAAACAGTTGCTTCAGACTTTTTTTTCTGGCTTAATACTAGTTACAACATGCCAACAGTAAATTAAACAAGCTGACGGAATGGTCTTTAAAAATGCTTAATTCTGTATAAATCATTTTAGGAGGGTTTTTAGAGTCAGTTTATCTAAAAACAGACAAATAATCTCAGAATACTGGACTTAGCATTAAAGGAAAAAAAACAAAAACAGAGACACAGAGTATCTAACATGGGGATTATCACTTCACTCTATCAGTAAAATGCTTCACTAGAGCAGCATGTCAAAATACTGCCCCAAAACCAAAGTTACTTTTCTTTGATAGCATGCAGAGTACAGCTCTTAAGGCAACTGTAAAACCCCCCTTTTTTGCTCAGCAGGACAGGTGAAAGGGTTACAGAGCAGTAACATGTCCAGGCCAATGATAACAATAATCACATCTTTGTACCTCCCAGAGTGCCTACCCTATCCTGAGTGCCATTCAGGGCTAATTTAGTTGAGAAAGAAGCGCCAGATTACTAATTCACATGGCCAGGCTCACATCGGACCATTTCTGTCAAAAGTTAGCCCAAGTCCTACCACACTTCTAAAATGAAGAAAACCATGTCGGCAAATTCATCCTCTGTGGGAATTTCTACAGCAGGTGGTCTTTGAGAGACGCTCAGTTAAAGCAAGGCTGATGGCTGCTGCTTGACAAATCAATTCAGATGTGGCAAATACAGAAAAAAGCCACAGAATCAACTGTGAGAGCACTGCAGAAATTTGATATTGGCAAAATTCGCCAAGGAGCAGTCAAACAGAGAAACAGTAATTGTAAAGCTATGCACTTTTCATAATAATCCACAAGAAATGAGGTATTCACTACTGTTTTGGCAATGATTTAAAAAACAGAAATGCATTTTTCTTCTTTCATATGACATAATACTGTTATAAAATTCATAGTCAGTAAAACAGAAGGAAGAGATTCAAATATCAGCTAAAAATATATTTGAATTAGCTCATCAGCAAACCAAAATGGTATTTTTAAAAGGATTTATCAACCAAATATAAAAGGAGCCATTTACCTGCTGCAATGTTGGGTTATATTTACCTCTGTAAAGTCACTATTGAAAGAACTCCTAAGCAAAAGCCAGATTCAGGAAGGCTGCAGTTAGATAGCCCTAACAAAACTCTGAAAATAAAGTGATTTACAAAAAAAATATCCTGCTGCTGCTAAAAATGGGTCATTACAACAGCCAATTTCTCTTGTGAAAAAACAGGATTCTTTTCCTAAACTATGGAAATGGGACATAGCTGCTGACAAGCAGCAGGAAAAAAAAGGTAAAACCCATTGTTTGTATGAAAAAGCCATGCAACGTCAAAGCTGTGCCTACCTCATCAAAGGTCTCTGTCATTTTTTGCAGGACATCCATCTTGTGCAAACTCTGAAACATCTCTGCTGTTACCATGCCTAGAAAAATGATGTTTTAAAAAGAAGAATTACTGACAACCACATTACATTAGATCAAGTCCAAACCACAGTAAGGACCTTATTTTAAATTCAGACACACCAAGAAAGGGGGACTTTGGTTTATGTCTGTTTATACTGGTATGGGCAATAGACATATATAGGGAGACACATAAATTCATTTATAATAGGAAATACTGGTGAACCAAAACTGAAATTCACATCAGTGAAATCTGCCCTGTGCTGTCTGGCATGGCTATTTTCTCTGTTTATTCATTTAGTTCAAGCATTTACTAAAATCTTGCCCACCGCTAGTCTAAGACACTGAAACAGTGTCCCTAAGAGAAGGCACATGAGTCAGAGACCTGGAAAAAAATCTTGAAGTGTAAAAGGGCACATTCTAGCTGCTTAAATACACTCAGAAGTTTCAAGCTAACAGAATAGCTGTCTTAAAACTCCTACTTGCCACCCTGAAGCATTTCGTTAGCAAACTGTCCCAAAAAAAAAAAAAAATCACTGTGTCTCAGTGTTTGTTATGAAACAGACAGCTTCCCAACCCTCTGGTGAAAGTAACCACAATGAAGCAAGAGAGCGCTGTTCTAGCCACCAATGCAGGGACCTTAATTTGCTAGTTGCTTATTTTCAAAGATACTAGGAAATCACAAAAGAAATGGCAACTGAAACACTGCATTTTAATTAGACGATCAGCAAAACTATCTTCCCTAGGTGGGGATTCTGCAAAGCAATCCAACATGCCACTTGAGAAACCCAATCTTGCACGCCATGTGCAAATACAGCTCAGAGCTGGCAGGCTGTAAACACAGAGAATGTAGCCAGCAACATTCTTTACTACTAGCCCTGCCCGTCCGGAGTTTGTCTTAATGAACAGCACAGGTAAGTGCGCGATCTATGGGAGAGAAAAATTCCCTTTTACAAAGTACTCTTCAGACTACTCTCACCCACAGACCGTGGAAAGGGCTACTAAGATGGTAAATTACCTTGACAGCCTGAGCACTGAATGAAGAAGTTGATAAGATCTAGAAGTGCCACATTCCTGTCTTGTTTATAAGCTTCAACCCAGTCATCTACTACAGACTAGAACAGATTAAAGGAACTCATTAGTCAGGAACTGAATACAACATACTGCACTGAGGACATCCACAATAAAAGACACAAACTAACATTGTTCCATCTCCATTAAGTTATAAAAATGAGAACAAACTCCACACCATTTTGTTCCATTCCTAATAGTACATGCAAAAGACTCCTTTTGGAGCAAAATGAAGCTGTGAACATTCACAACTTTTGCTCTAGGCAATGTTGCCATTCAGAGATACGTTGCTCCCTGTTAACAGGGAAAATAACCACAGCTCAGTAACTAATCATTTTAATATACAAAACCCAAGATGTTCGCCTCCAGATTTCTTGCCAGCAGTGAGGTAAGAGTTTCACTTTAAAAAAAAAATTTAATAAATAACCTTTGCACCAACTAATAATTAACATTAGCAATGGTGCCTGGGAGTTCTCTTCTTCTCTAGCACCTGGTTTGTGCAGAAGGCTGAAACAGTTCATACTACGCTTCAGCTAAACAACAACTCCAAATTTCATTCCTAGGGCAGTACAGCTACAGCCCCTGTGTGACACAGGCCTGCTGGGACAAGCCATCCAGACTTCGACCCACCTGTAGTGCCACACACATCTAAAGATCCTAGCAGCAGCAGCCTGGACTCAAGCTGTTGCCTTTCCAAGCCCTTCACATCACACTTTGCGCAGGAGAAGCTGAGCTCTTCAGGGAGCTCTACCGAAGCAAACACAGCTGTAGCACGGCAAGAGTCCACCTGCGCAAACACCTTGGAAAAACGAAGGTCTCATATCCAAAATATAAATGTGTTTTTCAGGTGTGCGCACACACATGCTTCCCTTACAGACACTACACACCGGAGGCGTAGGTATAATCCTGTATAAAAATATTTGGAAGTACAGGTTTTAATCCTTCATACGCAAACATAATATACACATATGTTCACAGAATTTGGGGAGGTGGGCCTCCTCACATTAAAGATGCTAACTATATAAATGCATAGGAAACCTGACTATTATGCAAACTGCTATCAAACTGCACTGGGATGGGGGTAAAAGAAAAACAGCAAAAAGGCAAGCTCCCAGGAAAAAAATGCCTGATCTCCAGAACCCTGAGCAACCAAAACTTTCTGCTGATAAACCTTTACTGTATTTTTAAAAATAATTCTCTTTTCATGTGTTCAGACATTGCTTCAGGAAGACTGGTTTAGGTACGTATTTCCTTCCTCTTAAAATATCTGACAACTGCTTTTTCACTAAATACTTGAAGCTTTTTTTTTTTTTCCAAGAGCCATGCTCATAACAGTTTTCCAATCAAACACGTTTCTTCCCCACCTATGCCAAAGCAGAACAAAACTTCAGTGGTCCAGAGTACAAATAAACTGAACACTGTTTCTCCACCTTCCCTCCATCAACTCCCTCAGAATTCAGAGCTAGAAATACCTGCATGGCCTGCTTCCCCACGCTAACCACTTCAAACAATGTAACTGCCTCAACCACTTCTCCATTCTGCAGCTGGCTCGCTCTTCGGCTACTGGAAGAACTTCTCCTTATGTTTTCACACTGTTCTCGGACCTTCCGTTTCTCTCTCTGAAACAAGTCAAGCCAAGAAAGTGTGTGAGAAAATGCAACATCTAACAGCCACTCACAGATACATGAATTATCCCCTAATAACAAGTTTATTTTACTCTCATTGTGGTGATTTCCCCGGAGTGCTAACTTTTAAGCTTCAAGGACAAAGGCTGATAAAGCCTTAACAAACATGACCATACTAGAAGGAGATGAAAGAAAGGATTTACCAGTTCGAATTTTTTCTCAGTGAGTCCTAAGCATAGGAATGTGTAACAGGAAAGAAGCTTCTGAACAGTCGTGTGCTACCCAGAAGGCACTTTTCAGTGGCAGCTGTGATTTCTGAAGAACAGACAGCAAGCTCAGAAGCTCTTCTACATCTTTTCACTCAGAGGGTAAACACACAACCTGCAAATTAACATCAGCTGCACACAATGCACAGCTCAATGAACTGACTGTTCAAAAGCCAGCATCAAGGCTCTGATGCCAATAGGATTTGGGGACCGAGCTGTACCCGGTGACTAGATCCTAGACGTACTGTATTGCAATTGTTTATGTAATATTTAGTTGTTACAAAATTGAGTGAGACAGAAAATAAATTCCATAATAAAAAAGATAATTTAAAAAAAAAATCAACAACTTACACATGTTTTCAGGTTGCCATTTCTCACACAGCTGCCGTTCTGCACAGCAGACTCAGGCACAGTCTCATCATGGACACCATTCTCTCTGAAGCATAAAAAACATGCTGAAGAGGTTAGCAGTGAGAACACACAACTACACACCTCAGTACAAACAACAAAAGAAAATAAAAGCATATATATGTATTTTAATATTTTTAATCGTTTGAAAGTTATTTTGTTATTAAAACCCAAACTTCTAACTTAAAAAGGCCCTGAATTTCTGTTGCACTTTTACAAACTCTTGGCTTTCCTGTAAGACTTACAGATAATTAGAAAACTAGCAAAACTACAGAGGGTATCAAGGAAGTACAAAATATGTAAATGAAGCAGAGAGCTGATGTTGACTTTAGGCAGCCGTTGTTGACTTAAGAGCTTTGCACCAGGAATCAATACTACAAGTATGCATTCCCTTCACTGATGCTCTACACAAAGCAAGGTAAGAACACTGGATGGGTCTACAATCCAAAATGAGAGGAAGAAGCTGTTTTGTCTATGAAACATGCTGAAGAAAAAAAAAACACACAAGAAATTTCACTTGCAGGTCATTGCTAATATGATGGAGAAATAATTTTATAAACAAAGATGCACCTTCTGGGAGATCTGAAGCCATACGTTTATCTGCAATGAAATCATGCCATTTTTCATCACTCCCAACGCTAACAATATGCTTTGCAAAAGTCACGTTTGAGCAGACGAGCTGGATCCCACATGCACAGCGGGTCCAGCACTGGTAGCTGGCTGCTATGGCCTCCTTTTAAACTACGGTGGCCAGGACACGAAGCCAGCTGATCTGGACTACAAGAAGGCAGAAAAAGAAAGTAAATATGAGAGTGTACAGTTACATTAATTTTCGTCATGCTGCTGCAACAAAGGCGTACTAACACAAGCGACCACAAAGAAAAAGCCGGCATATTACACTGCCAGATAGACTCAACCCTCCAACGCCCAGGGCTGACCCAGATGGAGAACGAACTGTGCTATGGGTGCAGGACCAGCTCGATTCCAGCGCGGTTTATCAATGGCAGATAAGCACTGTTGTTGTTGTCCTTCATTAAGCTGTTTCAGACATTGTCTCTGCAAAGCAAATCTTGGAGCTGAATAGCATCAACTGCAAGACTAAGGTCCTGTTATTTCCTTGGTGAGAGCACACAAAGGTTTTTATTTAAATACATCTCTTTACTTTTTAATCTACTGGGACACTTCACCCTAAGCAATGTAGAATTAGGCTTCCAAAGACTCCTATATAAAAATAAAACTCTATAAAAATGTATCAAATTTCTAAATACAATTATGCAAAGGCTTAACCTTTCTACAGAGAAAAATGCCATGAAAATTAAATTCAGTGAGCGCCTTGTCATAGAGAAGTTCAAAACATGCCACAGTGTTTGACAGCTAGAAGCAAAGAAAATAATTCAGCATGAACCAATCCTTACATCCGTTGTCCAGACTCCTTCATGTTACAGGAAAGAGAGGGGTGAACTATAGCTCATGACTGAGTCAGCACTCTAAGATCAACAGTTTGCATGAGTTTTCAAATGTTGACTTTGATGTGTAACTGCGAGCCAGAGAGATGAGGTATCTCAAGCACCACCAGAGACTTCCTAGTTGAAACAGACAAGCAGCGAGAAAGAGCAGTATGTATCACTTTTCTGATGCCAGTTAGCTCTTCACAGCTTTTCCTACACAGACCACAAAAAAACAAAAAGAATCCAAACGTGTTTGTCAAGGAGTTGCTGCTCCCATGCCATTAAACCCTTTCACTCTTGATTTCAAAGCAGAATGCAACATTATGGGGCCGGATTAACATGTTCTTACTTGCACTGTTTCACTAGAACTAACACTAGGACGCCAGCCAACATCGTGATACCACGTGTTACCTGTTTCTGCGTTATACCTCCACACACCCTCAAACATCTTTCCTGAACTGTTTGCATGTACAATTTAGTAACTTATTCCATTCCATAATGAAAATAAATGTATTTCATTTGATTACGGCAACCATAATTGAGTTCAAGTTGAATGAAAACATTTAAACAACAAAAAAATCAGAACTGCTGCAGGACAATTCAGTCAAGCACTTGTCTGATCACGTACTGCTTTTAATATCTCTGCCTGGAATATGTTTCTCTGAAGCTTTAACTTATGCATCTCTTTCCCAAGAACATGCTGCAGGATGGCACTAGAGATGGGATCTACTGGCCCCATGCTACTTCAGAAATTAAATGAGGCATTTTAATGAAGTTTTTATTTGCACAACTAAGTTCCTGTTGAAGAAACCGTAAAAATAATTAAGATATCTTATCTTCATGAGCAAACATGGAACCACTGTATCTAGTTGAGGATGACATACGATCACTTCTGCAGCGACCCTTACACATAACTGCATTTAACATCTTTTCAACTATATGAATGCAACAGTAGGTTTGACAAGTTTTGAACTAGTCTTTCTTTTTTTTTCCCTCCCCCTTGTTACTCTTCACCATGCCGAGCATTTTTGCACACCTAAATTCACCACCTCGTGCATTCTTAAGAAACAGTTCTCAGCCATTTACTTTGTTTCCATCAGCAATGGGTATGAAAGCTTAGGCAGAGTTCCTATCTCATCCTGATTTTCACCTTTATGCTCTGCTACACTCAGCTCACAGACTTTTACCTCGCATCCCTGCCACAGTGTGGTCCTTTTCACTAGCACCTGAAGTATTACTGATGAGATGAAAACAATTGAGGTGGGAAGAAAGCGAAGTCCCTCATCTAGTTCTCAAACACAATGCTGTTGTGAGAACTTCTGAATTCTCATCTTAATAAAGATTTGGAGCAGATTTAGTGATTCACGCTTAGAAAGCAAGCTACCTCTTTAACAAAGAGATAACAGATTCCTTGAGCTGTGTAAAAGGAACAATTACTACTTGATGAATCCTACCTCTAGATTTTTATAGTTACAAATTTCAATACAACTGCTTCATCTTTTAGAAGCAACATAAGAAGCTCAGCTAAACAACTGGCAGGTGCCCTCCTGACACTTCTGATAGATACTAAGAGGCTGGCTTCAGATGAAGCATACTGGAAAGGACATATGGGAAGCTAATTTAATTGACACCAGGGACTACGAGCAATACATCTCTCAGCCTTCGTTAGAGCTTAATGAAGCATAAGACCTGGAGCAGACTTGCTCAGAAGGTGACAGGTTCAGACCGCGAGTCCAAAGCATGCAACAGGGGATATCTAAGAAGCTTCGCTCTTTTAAACTTGACAGCATATGCCCAAATGTTTTACCTTTACAACGCATTCATTTATATCTACTCTTTCTACTTCCAAATACCGTGGTGTAAACAATGATATGAATACATTCACCTCAACTGATGACTGAAAACATACACTATGAAAGGGAGAAGACTTGACGTTTTCCTGATAAAAGCAGTTACAGAGAAGCAATGCCCACCTCAATGCCAACATGGAGACTACAGATTACTTCGCACTATTCCCCCTCAGCCTCCCCATATTCACCACCAAAGTGAACACGTGTTGACTATGAATCTGCTGATTGTTTTTGTTTTTTTTTTAAAGTAGGTTCATTTGCTCTGTAGTGAATGAGGCACAGGAAAGCTTGTAAGGCCAGGGCCTCTGTCAATCAGCATAACAGCCTACATGCTAAGCAATACATAAAAGGCAATAAAACAAGCCATAGTGCATAGCGAACCCCTTTTTTTCTTCCCTCCCACCCAAAATGGCACATTACAGACTACCCCAGTATCTGCAGGGCCCAAATTCAAGGGACAGCACCCTAATTTACCAATAAACTTTAAAGGCAACCAGTGCCAGGTCTTACTTCTGGCTGGGAATGTTGCTGGCTGCGTTGGGCTCAGCTATCATCTCCGCCACATTATTTCAGCAGCACAGACAGCAAAGCCAGCACGGTCAGCTCCATTCCTGAGGCAGCTCCAGCAAAATCGGTAGCGTTAAAAGCCTAACGGAGCTCTCCCGGGCGAAGCAGCAGCCAAAAACTGCCAAGGAAAGAACACAAAGACGAGTTAATACCAGGCAGCTCCTCTACAACCCAAGTCAGAGAGTCCCCCGCACACCGAAGTCGCGGGAGGGGATGCAACCACGAGAAAGACATGAATTCCGAGCGGAGAATTCCGAGACGGTGGGGCCACTGCGCCCGGCAGGAGCCCTGGCGAGGCACTGCC